GTGCACGTGTGTGCTGTGGTCTATGTTAAAGAACATCTGGATATATTATATAGAAGCAGCACTTTTGGGGCTTGAAGCCCACATCTGGTAGACTTGTACTGACTACTGAGAAACCTAATTTGGTAGCAATTGGGCAACGAGGCCATTCATCTCTTCCTGATGCTTGTTGCTTAAAGTATTGGGGATTGGATTTGGGCATATCACAAGTACTTCAGGTTGTGACAGTCCCTGAACTTGATTATGGAATTTTTCCTGCATTATGGATTCAGTTTCTTTTTTTGAAGGATTATTAGCGTATGTCTGAAATTGAAGTGCTTTCTTGGCATCAACTTTGTATACAAGAATCTGTAATTGCGTCCCAAAGTATCCAATTTTAAGTATATCATAAATGAAGAGCAAAATGAAATGCGTAGGACTGATGACTTGCAGAGAAAAAGAAATGTACACTTTCTTGAGCCCATGATGATGAAATTGAAGCTTGTATCATAACCCGGAAGCTACCATTTTGTAATGTAGTTACTTAAAACATGTCTATTTATTTATTTACTTTAGTATGTTCTCTCATAGGAATGACTTTTGTGCAATGTCATAGGAGATTAAGAGTAGGTTGATGTTGACAAGATTATTTATTGGTTTCAGTATCTTACAATGAATGGGATCTATGACTTTTGGAATTGGTTTGATGATCAGACCTGGTAATGGAAATTACAACTCGTGGAAACATTCTCAGAAATCTTCTTGCTTGCTTATTCTCCTGTTTTTGTTTTCAACTGACAAATATAAGTCATGCTGTTTATTTTACTTGTCCTAAGGTATCTGCTTGGGCGTGTGATTGGTGGAACTGTTTACCCTGGATTGACGTTGACGGCAGGCACCTTGTGGTGGTGTGTATTATAGTCATGTTACATCCTAGAACAATAAATTTTCCCCAGGAGCGGTTTACTGGTCTGTCAGACTTAGTTAATTCTGTTTATTTGGTTTTCCAACTATAACAGCTTATAATCTGACCTGGGGTCATACTTTATTATTGCAGGATACTGAATTCTTTAAACATTCCTCTATCTGTAGAGACTGTGTATTTACTGCTCCAACATTCTCTGGTATTGCTGCTTGGGCTACTTTCCTTTTGACGAAGGTTTGTTTTCTGGCCAGCTTAATCTTTTTTTTTTTTTTAGTTGTAGTTATTACCATTAGGTTAGCTGATATCATTTAATATATTTCATTGAGCTGAGGTTTCTCAGTCTAGTTTTGTTGGCCCTTGTAATAGGAAGTTAAAGGCACCGGTGCTGGACTGACTGCAGCAGCTCTTTTGGCCATGGTAAATTTTGTATTGGGTATCTGTAACTTCATTTCTTATTCTTTTTGATGCTGTTTTAAAACTTTAAACAGTAGTTTCTCATATGTCCTTTTCCTTGCAGCATTATTGTCGAAAATATATGAGCATATCTTTCTAATATTTTTAATCATTTTCGAATGATACCCAACAATTTGAGTTGAGCCTACCGCATTTGTATTTCTCTTTCTTTCTCTCATCCCTTTTTTCCTTCCCTGTTCTTTTTTACTGTTTCTCTTAGACATAGTTGTCAGTCAGTAATGACATATTGGAGCATCAGGTGTACATCTTGTTATGGTAGGCTTTTGTTGTGAGAAGGTCATCAATTGTGTGTTTGATTTTAACAGTAAACCTGTCGACAAGCTTGTCTGTCTTACTTTTGTTTTTGTTCTTTTCTTGGTGATAGTAATACAAACTTTAATATTAAGTTTGCTGCTCTATGTGTTTGTGGTACTCCATTCTATGTGAATGTAGACAGTAAACCTCTCGATCAAGGTTGTCTTACTTTTGTTTTTGTTCTTTTCTTGGTTCTAGCTAATATTAAAAACATTAATATTAAGTATGCTGCTCTATGTTTTTGTGGTACTCTATTCTGTGTGATAATCATACTCTCTGTTTTCTATGTGATCTTTTTTAGGTTCCATCCTATATATCTCGCTCTGTGGCTGGCAGTTATGACAATGAAGCTGTTGCTATATTTGCTTTGATCTTCACTTTTTATCTCTATATAAAGGTCAGATTTGATAAGAGTTGTGTTAGGTGTCCCTACTGTGCTATATTTAGTACTAAAACTAAACTTTGTTAATATCTTTGTTACTGTACTATAGGTTGATCATTTTTTATGGATCTTTATTGAAATTTTACTGATGGATTGTGATTTGTATAACGAACCATTTCCTGACTATGATTACTCATTATCTGCGGACACTGAACACTGGATCCCTCTTTTATGCTACTTTAAATGCGATAGAATACTTTTACTGGTCACTATTCCTCTCGGCTGTACATTGCATATGCTCCACTTGTAAGTATGTGGTGCATTGAAGGATGTTGAATTATATTCTAAAACAGTTTTAGAGTATCCATTTATCATGAAAGATTAGAAAATACTTGGGATTACTTTTTAGAATCTTGGCTATATAAGGATAGACTTTAAACATGTTTACTTTTTATTAAAAACTTTAAACATGTTTACTTTTTATTACCATTACTACTTTACATAGACATTGGAAATGGAAAGAATTTATTTCACAATCCCATGCATAGCAATCCCCCAAACAAACACAGGTAAGGGTACTTTGGAAATTACTTCCCAATGACAAAATTATGCTATTGCCCCGTATATTTAAACTAATATAGTATCTATTCTAAAATACTATACTATCCAATACAAAGCTTTTGGTTGGCTTCTAAGTTTTTGATAATTTATCTCTAATTCAAAGATTAACTATTCTTAAGTTAAATAAAGTTGTTGGTCATGATTCTAGTTCATGTTTTTGTTTTTCTAATGTTTTGATCTCCCTTTCTAATGTATTCAGATTATGCTAAAGCTCAAATCTAATATTAACATGAAAATAATCAAAATCACATATTGATTGTATAGTCCACCTCGCTTCCTCCTCATTTGTCATTCCTTCCTGAAGCCTGCTTTCTGTTCCCGTGTCTCAAGCTAGATTATAAGACTCGTCTTTGAGCTACTAGAACAATCTTCATGGCACCTCCTGGCTTTCATAGTTCCTTTTACTCTCACTATAACCTAATATCCTTCACCTCTCTTTTTGGCATTGAGGAAAGACAGACTAAGGTTTTAGGAAATGACAATTGAAGAAAGATATCAATAAAGATGCAATATTAAAGATTTTATTCAATATCTGAAAGATTACAAGGACCTTACTGACTCTACAATGGATATTCAAATTAGAGATGGTTGTGTCTCTGCCCCACCTCTACGAAAGACACAAATAGCCTTAGAAATGATGCCATATAGCAGAAGTATATCTTGATTCTATAGTTGATCTCTTTCTTCCTGCAAGACACATAATGAAGTTGTGCCTAGGAATGGTAACATGAAACCATACAATATGTGACCATCTTTGTTGTTTCTGCTTGAATCTAAAGCATTCCCATGCAGATTTGGTGCAAAAAATGGTTGAGGACATCCATTTCACACTATCTATAGCAACCAGACCAAGCCTAAAAGTTGATGGAATGGTGTTAAGAACTTCCTTAATTTCAGCATTCTCGTGCTTACGCCATACCCATCCATAAGTTCCCACTATGCTACAAACTTTTGCTTCTCTCTCAAGGCTTGAATTTTTCACCATGTTCAAAACCCCAGACCTACTGAATGATCCCCCTAGAGTACCAAGGGTCCAACAAGGGAAATGTGTTTAAGCCATTTCCAACTTTATACCCAGTTTCCTTTATTTTCCCCATAGCTAAAACTTGAACATATATTTGCCATTGTCTTAGGTAATTAGCAGTGATGTTTGTAAGTCATTTATAATTGACAATGTTAAAGAGGAATGTGAAGTAGTACAAATGTAAAAGCATTGACAACTAACTTTTTGGCATTCAAGCGCTTGGCCACACCATTGTGGAAATTGATACAGACTATCAAAATGGGAAATCTCCATGAGTTCTTTTGTAATGCATAAGACACTACGCATTATTTTGCTTAAGTTTTGTGCAAAGATTTTTTTTAGGTAAGATTTCTACCAAGAGTCGGTTATGAAGTATTGTGCACTATTTTTGATGATCTTTATTTGCATTCTTGGTTTGTTTTTGAAGTCCTGGGGGTATAAATTCATTTAGTTTGTTTTTGGGTAGTTTAATTGGTATTAACTCATTTAGTGTTTTTTTTTTTTAAATAATACAATTTTTACCAGGGAAAAATTTTCATAGGGAAAGATTATGTTGAAGGCAACCCTTTTTACCTTAGAATATATTTTCTTAGGCAAAAGTTGCCACCAGCAAAAATTTTCCATGAAAAAACTCAACTTTAACCTATGATTAAATTTCGCCGGCACTTAGCTAGGGGCTCCCTCCAACAAACATTGCAACAAAAAAATTTGTAGCAAAGTTCTTTTAGTGATGAATTTCGGATTGTTACCTAGTAAAATTTTTAGTGGAATGTGCTTTCTGTGGTAGGGGAATACCAATATATATAGGATGACAGAACATTCATATTCCTCAATAATAGGATTGAGATAAATCGAAGGTCAAATCATGCTAATGATTATGACTAATTGACTGACTCATCACACAAGAAAATTTGATTTTTGTTTTGACAAATAGGGTGACAAAAAAGGGGCAATGCAAAAAGTTAGTTTCGGTCTATTGTCGAAATAAAAATGTATTAACTTTGGAAAATATGTGTTTGCACTATGTACTTGGAACTAAAATTAGGATTAAAGAAGGCATTGGTTTTATATATTTATAGAAAGTAAATCAAATGACTTTTACCTATTTCACTTCGGGAATCAATTATATGTTGGTCCAAAAACACAAAGTATGAGTATATTTTTGAACTTTACGAAAGTAAAGTGTTTTTGAACATTACTACTTGGGATTAAAAGGTAATGTAGGCAAGCTATACAATAACTTAAATTTTCATTTAAGTTATCCATTGGTTTATTGAGGGAACACATTGAACTCTTTTGGAGCTCTTCCTTTTACTCTCATGACTACATAAGTAAAATGCATAACATAACCTAATGATAGAAGTACATAAACTGAAACCATTATCTACTGAAAACTTTAAAATAGTACAGTGCTTTTATTGAAAGAGTACACATAAAAATCTAGCTAATGGGTCACACAATGTTGCGGTTGAACAACTTATGAAAACTGTCAACAACAAAATAGTAGCAAGAGGTCATACATGCTTCAACCAAATGGAGCCATGCCCTTTGCCAAGGAGGGTTCACATAAAGAACTGCTAAAGTTCCTAATAACAACATGATATAAGACACTAAAAAGCTCACATGAAATACATCCATGTCAGTGAAACCACCATCATTTTGCTCATCCTCTGAATCTTTTGGAATTGACGATGGTGCTCGGACATCAGTACAATTGTTTTGTGATGGAGGTCCACAAAGATAAGGATTTCCCTCGTAACTACTCTCGCTGAAGGTAGCAAACTGAGCTTTCAAATCTGGAGTTTTACCTGATAAATTGTTGTAGGCGACACTGAAGACCTCCAAGAAGTTCAACTTAATCAATTCGGAGGGGATACTCCCGGTCAAGTTGTTATAGGAAAGATCTAAACTCTCAATATGACTTAGGTTGGACAACGATGCCGGAATGGATCCAAGGAGATTGTTATGCGACAGATTTAACATGAAGAGCTCACTTAAGTTCCCAATTTCTGGTGGTATAGTACCAGTTAATTCGTTGCAAGAGAAATCAATCCCTGAAATCAAATCAAGGACAGCGCCCTGATATGGATAGGTACTATTCTTTGTTGTGAACTCCACAGTTTCTTTGGCATTCGACATTTCAACAAAATAGGAATTAAATTGAAAATCAAAATATCTATTAATTCCCATGATTGAAAATGGTAATTCCCTTGGATAAAGAAGCTCAATTTGTCCCAAAAATAAATAAGATTTTTCAAAGCTCGACTCACAAGTGATGTTAGACAGGCAATGAGGAATAGGACCAGAAAGTCTATTCTGAGAAAGATCAATCATGCTTAATTGTTTCAAGTGGCATAATTGACTGGGAATGTTGCCTCCAAAATTGTTACGTTTCAAGATAAGAACCCTCAATCCAGAAAGTTTGCCTATCCAATTCGGGATTTCACCAGTAAACCTGTTGTCTCCAAGGTCTAATGTCACCAAATTGGAGTTATCATAGAATGAAAGAGTCAATGGACCACTCAATCTATTCTTATTCAGATGGAGATGCATTATGGATGAAGGGTTGAAGCAAGCTGGCACAGAGCCTGACAAGTTATTCTCAGATAAATCCAAAAACGGAAGAAAATTAAGTTTGCAAAATCCCAATGGAATGGGGCCTTCAAAGTGATTTTTGGCCAAACTTATTTGCCTTAAAGACGATACATTCCCGATCCACTGAGGAAGGAAGCCAGACAAATGGTTATTAGAAATATCGACCGTGCTCAACGTAGAGGCATTTGATAAGCAGTCTGGTATGTTTCCAAGAAAGTGATTGTTGTCCAAATGTAACACCCACAATTGACCCATGTTGAGAAGATTGCCAAATATTTGACCATGCAAGTAATTATTTGATAGTTTGAGAAACTCCAAGGAGGAAAGACCCATTTGCAGATGTTCTGGTATTCTTCCAGATAAACGATTATGAGATAAGTCTATGGCCAGTAAAGAACTGAGATTGCCAAAACTAGGAGGAATACGACCATCAATCATATTATTGGACATGTCGACAACCTCTAAGCTTGGAAAGATCATATCTAAATTTATAGGAATTTGACCAGTTATGTTATTGTCTGAAACATCTAATTGTGAAATGTGAGGATTAGGATAAGAAGGCATTTGAAAAGACCCCATTAAAGAGTTATTCTCTAGGTTAAGTAATTCCAATCTCGTATTATTCTCTAACAACCAGGTGGGGAACTTCCCCAATAAGTTGTTGTGGGAGAGATCAACAGCTATCATCTCATTTTGGTAATACAGGAAAGAAGGTAGTGTTTTAATGGCACAATTTGACAAACTAAAAAACTTCAGTTGAAATCTCGGGATCCATGATTGAGATTCATTTTCAATTGTTGCTACGTTATTATCACTTAAAATGACCTCAAGCTTTGAATGGTTAGAAAATGAGGCAAATGAGAATGGAATCATGAAGTGATTATCTGAAAGGGAAAGGTATTCAAGTGAAGTGAGAATAGTAAGGGGAGAGTGGGCAACACTTCCATGCAAGTTATTGGAAGAGAGATCCAATGCTCGAAGCGATGTCAAGTTTCCCATACATGAAGGAAATATCCCCTCAAAATCATTGTCATCAAGGTATAGCTCTTCAAGGTTCTTAAGATCGCAAAATCCTGTAAAATAAAAGAAGTAATGCCGCCTAGCATGAGTTGTTGTGATTCATATAAATTAAAAATTAATTTTGTTAGTGACATGTAAAAAAATTTGAGGATCCTATTTTAAAGATTCAACATCGAAGCAACAATTCATGAATAAACTCATATATATACCTTGAGCAGGTAGACTGCCACGAAGTCCACAGTTAGACAATGACAAAACCCTTAGAGAAGTCATCACTCCAGCGTTATGAAGAAAACTCCCATTGATGGATGAATAATCCAAAATTAAATGCTCCAAGTTGTTCAGACCCCTCAACTCTGTTTTGAAAATAAGAAGAAACAAAATTAAGAGATCAAAATACGTAATGCATTCGTATCTAGTAGAACTGTTAGTCATATGGCAGATAAGCAAATGATAATCCCTCTTTTTGAATTATGAAAATCGAATACTGGGAAAAAAAAAAGAGTTGATTATTAAAATTTAAAAAACACATCTGTTAATTTCCGTCCTTTACTCATTTTTAACCCAAATTTAAATTCCTAAAATCTTTCTCCAATATTATATCCAAATTCATACCAAGTTAAGAGATACTCAATATTTTACTTAAATCAAGGAAGACTTAAATCTTTAAATTTGGGTTTATCTTCTTTTAAATTTGAGTTTTTTCATTAGACTATTTTGTATTAAATTAAACTTTTTACTCAAATATTGACCCAAATTTAAGTCAAAGTTGGAAATGCTCTAATAGGATTAATTTCTAAATTTATCAATAGTATTGTTGTAATTATAACTTTTAGACTTTTCCATTTGGACTAAACCTCTTGACACATCATTATGCAGTTCAGTTATTTATGTCCCAATAGTATTAATCAAAAAAAGAGCAATGATATTGAGACCTAATTTTGTAAAACCCAAGGTGATTAATTTGTAATTTAACATAAATTTTATTTCATACTTTATTCATACACAATAGTGTACACGTGTTAAAAAAAAAATTCCGAGTTCTACAAAATTTTGACGCTATTTTAAAAAAAATAATAGGTAAAAATTAATTTTAATTGATGTAATAAAAGAAACAAAGAAATAAAAAATTATTATTTTGTATAGTGGGATCAATTTTTTGAATGCTTGATACTTGTGTTTTATCATGTCTTCATGCACGAGTTATAACTGATACATATATACAATACCTCGTTAATTTTAGAAGTTATTAAGCAGAATTTAAATTTATAGTTGTTTAGAATTGGATAGCGTTTAATCCAATTTAAGCCCAATTTTATCACATGATTGCTCGAGTAGCAGTAAATCACGTTATGTCTTTTTAAATTATGAAAACTAAACAAAACGAGACGAATAATACGTATCTCTCTTAAATTCATATTATATTTGATTTGAATCTTATACATGTAATATATCGATAAATTATGACTCTTATATCATTTTATTCATCGACTATTGAATTTAACACATAACATAACTAATCGTTTAATTTATCAATTTTTTTACAACTTATTTAAATTTGATTTTTCATAGACTGTTATTTTTTCGACAAAAATAATCCACAGAATTGCCTTGAATGTTCAATGGTACAATATATAAGATGGCCACAATTTAAGGGGGTGAGGTATAATTGTGAAAACTTGGGAGGGCCATATAAAGTGGAGTCAAACATGGTTCCTTGTTTTGCTCAAAAAAAAAAAAAAACATGGTTCCGTGGAAAAATAGGGGCAGTTTGATTTGCGTCTCTAAAAATAATATCTAAAAATAATTTTTAAAAAGTATTTCGGAGACGAATAACTTGTTTGGTTTGATTTGCGTCTCTAAAAATAATATCTAAAAATAATTTTTAAAAAGTATTTCGGAGACGAATAACTTGTTTGGTTAGATGATTTCAAAAATAACTATAAATTTAAATTGTGTTGGAAAGAAAAAAAAAAGGGAGGTTGGACTTTTGCATTTGCAGAATATGAGAATCTGGGAATCTCATGGAGGAAGAAAATGAAAACTCAAAAATTACAGGACACCCCATTTAATTTCAATGCATTTTATATTAACCCCTAGATTCTTATAAATTTAATTCTGCCCACCTTTTAGTTGGTAAGTTGGAACAATAAAATGCTGGAAAATTGTATGGTCGCACCAAAAATAGAAAATTCGGTTTTCAAGGAAAATATATTTTGACCTAAAAAATTTCAAAAATTATGATTTGACCCCAAAACTTTTAAATTTTTTTTAAATTACCTATACTACTTGCATACCCTATTATCTCATATTAAAATGTTATTTATATGCAAATGATATATAAAGATATGTCAATGGGTAAGAAGTATAAAAATTAAATATAGAATCGCAAAATTATGAATTTAGAAATAGTGATTAATCATTACATGTTATTTTGGATTAGGTAGTAATTACATTGAGATTGGGAGAGAGGGGTTTGAATTGGAATATGAGAATCAATGTGAGTACTTTATTACTTCTTTTGGAAGAATTTTCTATATTAAACTTGTGGGTGTATGTGTGTATGGATATTTCAAATATATGCTATATATGTTGATATTTGGGGTTGGAACTAAATTTTTTAAAATTAATTATTCCAATTGTGATTTGTTACACATGTTAACTTTGAAAATGTGTGGGATAATTTTATGTGCGTTGGGACTTAAACAATAGTTCTGGTGTGTGTATGTTAAAATCATGTTTTGTGATATGAGAACTGGGTTACTAGGTCTAAATAGTAATGATATTGAAGGAATACTGGTGTGATCGGTAGAAGGATGTACACATAGAGGTCATTCATCAGGCTAACGATGACAAACGATTGGGCCAATTATCAAACTAGTGGTAACAAACATGAGACGAAGCTTAACTATCGGGCTAAAGATAACAAATGTATTTGAAATTGAGTGTGTGTGGGTGTTTGAGCTATAAATATATTTTCTTTTGTATAGATATTTGTGAATATGATATCATTTTGTGTAAATGATTATGTAAGAAGGGCTGTGGTACAATTTGTTGTACTTAAGTATGTATAAAAATTTATTTCTTTTATATAAACAGTGAGACATATTTTCACTCCTCATTAGAAGTGATTTCTATTCAAGGGTTCCTGTGCTCATACAAAAAATTTTCTAGGTGAGCATCAGGGTGAAGAGTAAGTCTATTGACAAACAAGGACTTAGGGGACTTGAAGATTTATTCTATTGTAAGTCTTTAAGAATAAGTATCGTTTATGATTTTAAAACAATTATTTAATTATTTTAGGAATAATGTTGTTTATGTTTGGAGTTTGTAAATCTTATAGTTTGATTATGGTTTTACATGGGTTTAATAATGATATTGGATAATTTTTAGTTTATTTTTTTGGTATTCATTAGATGTGTGGAATGAATCATTTTAATATATGTCTTCCATTATACTTTACATTTATTATGCACATGGTTAGTTGGTTAAGAATTTGGTGGCTGGTTCGTTTTCCACCCTACGTGATCCGGGGCAGGGGCGTGACAAATTTATTGACCTAATTTACTGGCATAATTCATTATAGCTATTAGATTTATGGTGGGTCCTAAGAAATACTGAAACTTTGTATTAATCCAATGGTTACGATAAAACCATAGCATTAAGCTAGATTGATTTTTATTTCTCTCTAGCTTTCCTCCTAAAAAAATACTTGAATCTTAACTTTCATCCGAATTAAAGAAATTTGCACAAATTTCACTTCTGAATCATGCACTAGCTAGGTTTTGGTCTCTTTAAGTTTACGAGTTCTCAGTTAAAATTCAAGGAAATTAAGCACTAGAAATTAGGTTTTGAACCACTACATCTCAAGGGATCTACAAATTTTAGTTGAGTTATAGAAAGAGAGAGAGAGATAAAAAAAATTATGTGTGCATGTGTTTGTAAGATTATGTCCAGGTGTTCTTCTCTCAGTGTCTATGAACAACTGCAACAAAATGAGCAACAAGAGGCGGATGCTGTAGAAGAAGAAGAAGATGGGAGGACAGTGTGTTAGAGAGAGGGAGAGAGAGAGAGAGGACAGTGGTGTATGTGTGTGCTCAAGTGCCTATGTGTAGTTGCGTCTGTGGTTATGTTATGTGCGCGTGTATTGATAATGATACAGGTGTTTGGGTTCAAGTTTAAGTTTGTTTAAATAAGAAATAAAGGGCTAAATTCTGAAATTAAGAGCTTCAATATGATGATATACACCTTTTTTCTAAAAGTGTAACAAAGTATTTTTTTTTTTTAAACCAATGCTCCTGAGTATCCATCACGTCACATATACCAACTGGACTGATTAGTGTATAAGTTACTGCAGATAATGCCTTAATGTAAATATTTTAATTAACCGTAACAAAAGGGAGGAAGGAACTGCAGAAAATATTATTAAGTCGTCGTCATTACCTTTTTTGGTGACCAATCCTTCTACTGCAAGGATTAACTTCCTAAGAGATGGCAATGCACCTAGTGAATGTAAAACACTTGCATTAAATATGATGCCTTCCATGCTAAGAACTTGAAGCTTGTTTAAGCTCTTCATACCTGAATGCAAAATATTACACTGTTATGATCTATACTGTAGTTCCAATTCAATCCTGCACATGAAGAGAACGAAAACAACATATCCTTCGACAAATCATCTATACCTATCATGGTAGTGAGGCTGGCAATATTTCTGTTATAACTCAAGTCCAGCTCTTCCAGGTTGCTCGTAGCAGGAAAGTCTACCCATAAAACAACAAGTATTTCAGATCTGTAAGAGTGTATGTCCATTAGTATTTTATTACTTCAGTCTGTAAGCTTACTGATTTCTTTGTCTTCTGCATTCTTTCATTGGATTTTAGGTTGAGAAATAATTATTGTCAAAAGTCTTGTTTGGTTTGCATATGTAAAACAATTTTTTTATTTTCGGATATGAAAAAAAATAAGAAAAGTTGTTTGGATGATAGAACTTTGTATCCAATTTTCCAAAAATTAGGAATAAGAAATTAGAATTTTAGAGAGCACTAATAACATGTCTTCGTCAATTTTGAAACACAGTTTAAAAAAATAAATTAAATACACGGGATGCAATCTACTATGCACTTAAAGCCATCAATTAAAAGGAATAGACACGTTCAAAGAAGAGGTGAAAGTGGGATTCAGGGTGACGCCTCCAAACCATGCATTCCAAGCTAGTCTAGTTATAAGGATCATGAATTCTATTCTTGGTAGAGAGCCTTTGCTTGATGGCCAACCAAAGAATGAAGCTCATTCTCGGGATGGATTGATTGTACCAGGGACGCTTGGACCAAGAGGTTTTTGGACTAGTTCCCTTGATATGGTTCCAAGCAGAAGTAGTGGAGAAAAGGCCATTTATTGCAATTCTCGTACATAAATAAATGTTGTTAAAATCTCTTTCATACCTTGCAGGTGAATAGATCCATTCAAATAGTTGTCTCCTATGTATAGTCTCTGAAGTGACGAAACCAATCCTAGAGATGATAGGATGCTGTTATTGAAATAATTGGAATCCAACCGAAGAACCTCCAGCTTGCTCAACACAAATAATCTTTCGAAACCTGTTAAGAATTTTACTTTTGGATAAAATAAAAAAAATTCCCTAATTAACATATTAAGAACACCACATGCTTATTATTTTGCTAAGCAGGAAAATCTAGACCTTCATTTGCGACCCAACCAACAAGCTGGTTATTAGATAAGTCAAGATTTCGGAGCTCTTTAAAGGGAAGAAACAAAGAGGCATTGAAATACCAATCTCCTAAAGACCCATCCCTTGTAGAGTTAAGGAAAAGCTTAATTACATGAGATGTGGTCTCGTTGCATTCAACTCCTTCCCAATAACAACAGTCGCTCACCATACTGTTATAAACTTCCACTCTATCCTCCCAAGATGGCAAAGAAGGTCCATTTGGGTAGTTTATGGAAGCTTTGAGTTGCAAGAGAGCAACCCTCTCTTCCTCCCAAAAACCAAAACACCCAACACCACAAAGCCATATCAAAGCTAACATTACCACCCACCACTCCAAACCCTTTGATTCCTTCATATTTATTTGCTGATATGTTTTTGCTTGTGTTTCTTGGCAAAGTGCTATCAGATTAAATAGAGGGGTGATGCCTTTGGAGAAGTAGCAGGCCAAGCTCTCAAAATCTTGACTCAAGACCAGTCGTGCACAAGTCAGTCCACAACCCCCATAACACGGAAAAGCTAAATTCGAGGCCAGTATGCACAGTGAAACATGAAAGAAAAAAAGAACAAGAAAAAGATATAACCAAATTATAATGTTTGCATAGTGAAAATGGGAGTGAGGTTTAGTTTTGTTAAATTGACTAAATTTTAAACACTTTCCAACAATAAAAATGAGACCTGAGACCTTATTAGTAGATTTTATTCAAATGGCTCATTCATCAACATTAGTGATCTAAAGTTGAAAAAACTAATTAAATATATTTTTGGCTCCACTGGCAATTCTAGTTTTCTCCCACAACAAAAGTAGACGTCAATTACATCCCCAAATTTTTTGATATCTTTTTGAATGGTTTGTTAGTGGTATCACCAATTATAATACTCGTCAATTTATATAGCCGAAAATGGAATTCAAATTTTTAATATTAAATATACTCAAAATTAAATATTTCTCATGAATTTAAATGAGACTCAATATATTCGAATATATCATAAATGAGACTCGGATCCACAATAAATTCTTAGTTTTGGATCCCAAATAGATAGGACCTTTAGGTGAATGAATCCCAAATAAATTATGTTGCTTACTCCTTACAAAGAAATTATTTAAGAATAAACTTAATAAAGAAATTTATTCATACTTTTGGTGTCATACCTTCTTTTTTACATTTCATGAAAGCGTGACATCTTTAAGTAAATTCTTTTTATAATTTATTTTATTGTATTATTTTTACTATCAATTGTTACCAAAGCAAAATTCATGTGTTGCTTGTTGGTGGGGTCATGCACAAGTCAGTCAACAACCTACCTAATACGGCAGAGCTAAATTCTTGTAGATGGGGTCGACTGACCCTACAGCATTTTTAAATGGTCAACAAAGAAAAGAAAAAGAAAAAAAGATTACCAGATTATAATGTTGACATTAATGATCAAACGTACCCCACGCATGACTCATAGAAAGAAACAAATTAGAAAGAAAAGTTAAATCTACTCTACAAATTCCACAGTTTGTGGTAATACTTTGAATCCAAAATAAGGACTTGACTACAGTAGTTAAAAAAATTCGGTATCATAATCTAAGTGAAATCTAAGAATTAAAAGTCAAATGAATATTATCCCTTGGATGAGTGTGAGATAAGGGAGTCTCACTAAAAAAATTGATGAGATCCACTTATTTAATAGATGATATTTATTTGGGTTGTAATTTTTTGAATTTCATTTGAGTTTTGTAGCAGTACTCAAAAAAATTAGAACCAACCTTATCTTTTTGGTTTAGAACCAACCTTAAAATAAGGACTTGACTACGGTAGTTAAAAAAAAATTCGATATCATACCTCTACAATTAATGTATTACTTCAATGAGTGTTTTTACAACTTTAGTATGTTATTTTACAATAAAAAAATTAGAACCAACCTTATTTTTTTGGAAAAAATTCCTTTATGAATTGTGTCCAAAATTATTAATCCAAATTTTGTCTCTTAGAATTCAAATTTGCACTAGTTTGACTTTTAACTTCCCTCTACTTTTAAATTTGAATTTCGGGTCTATTCTTATTAGGCATACATTAACGGTGTTTTGTGGGTTGAATCGGCTATGGTGGCTGTCCAAAATAGTCATTATTTTGTCTATAAATAACTAAAATTCATTAGCATTTTGCACTAACTTCTTTACAATATTATAAATTAAGGCAATCATTACATTCATAAATCTTTGCATTAGGAGTCTTTATTTTTTTTAAAGTACACAACACAATTCTTATCAATTGGACAATTGAATTGAAATGTTACTTTCAATTGCATTAAGATTATTGTATTTTGATAGACAGACGTTATGATTTTCTTAAACAATAGTATGACACGAAATTTGTCTTAAAGATATAGTATCAAATACTAGCTTTGATTTATAAAATTCAATTTTCCGTTCCTGATATGTAAATTGAGAAGTTATTTATTGCAGTTTTAAATGTTACTAATTTTTCTTGAATGTTACTGTTTTGCTCTTAATTGCATAAACAGATTTAAATGTTTCTGTTTAGAATAATTCTAAGTTTAATATCATTCCAAAATCTCAATAATCAATTTTGTCATATTGTAGAGATCCACACCAACAATAGCAACAGTCACTCTCCTTACTATTATTACCTTCTAATGTGTCCTCCCAAGATGGCAAAGAAGTTCCATTGGGGTAGTTTATCTAACCTTTAAGTTGCAAGAGATCAACCCTCTCTTCCTCCAACAACCAAAACACCCAACACCACAAAACCATATAAGACCTAACATTACCACCCAATACTGCAAATCATTTGATTCCTTCATATTTAACTTCTGACATGTAGCTATGTAGTTATTAAGACTATGATATACTTCTTTTTTTATGTTTTTATGGCCAAGTGGTGTCATATTAAATAGGGGGTTGACGCCTTTGGATAGTTTACAAGTAAAGCATTCAAAATCATCATGACTATTCAGTTTGATCTAGAAATGCACAAGTCAGTCAACTGCCCACCCACCCACCACGACAGACTTAATTTCTTGTATCATTATTATGTGTAAATTACACATTGACTCCATGGCCCTGATCAACTATTTGGAGTTTCTTATGTTACCTCCATAACTCTTGAAATCGATTTCATAGGCATCACTTCTATTCTATACACTGATATGTAGAAGTTGGGGATCCAAGTTCAGAAGTGTATAATTCCTCTAATATTATTGTTGGATCAATATCCTAAGAATATGTACTTTACAAACAATTTTGAGAATAGATGGTCGATAATTTTGAAGTAAATTTAGTGTTTCATAATTAAAGAAAGAAAAATATATTACCAAATTATAATATTTGCATAGTGAAAAATGGAGCCAAACTATATTGCAAGTGGGACATCGACCAATATTGGCAATCTGACTTTGAGAAAATTATCAAATATATTTTTGGTTCGGGACACAATGTTACTTGCGTCTTTCAACTACAAGCTTTGTCAATTATATGCATGAAATTTTCAGTTACAATTTGAATAGTACAATGAAAGATGGATTTCATGTGATATTTTCCATTTGAGGCTCACATGGCATTTTTCGTGGTCGACCGAGCATTTAACAAAAAAAGATATTACCAATTACACTGTTGGTTTACATGCAAACAATGGAATCATAGATCATTAAATTGGCTCTATGTTAAAACACTTATCATGAATTTAAGTTGTACTCAATATATTCAAAGGGATCCTGTTAATTGTCGATTAGAATGTGAAACTTTTTCTTTGATAAATATATAGAATTTTAATTATATGTATATCCGATAACATTGTTAATCACACGTAACTCACGATTGCAAACCCTTTGATTCAATCAAGAAAACTTTTCTACTAATCTATAGCGGTAATTACATATCATTCTACTTTTGTTGACAGGCAAATCCTTCTCATCCACTAGAATTTAGAAACCATCATTATCATGACTATTCCACTTGACTTGGTAATTCACAAGTCCCCTTCCTAGAACACGGCAGGCCTAAATTCCTTAATGTGGAGCCATTGGGAAGACCAGCTACATCACTACTAGTCAACGATCAATGCATTGCTTCCATAGGATGGCATAGCTAAATTCTTGTGTGTGGGACCAACTGATGGTTTAGATGAGTTTCTATCATAACTTACTATTATTCTATCATAACTTATGGCTAAATTCATGTAGATAGAGTCACTTGGTCCTACGAATGGTTTAGATGACTCTGCATCATTACGGATTGCTATTCTATTCGATTCAATAATGCAACAATTAATCACTGCTTTCATAGCACGGTGGTGCTAAATTCATGTATGTGGTGTTAATTGAATCTATTGATGGTTTAGATGAGTTTGCATTATAACTAATTGTTATTCTAGTCAACTTAATAATACAACAATTAATCAAATGTTTCCATATATGGTGCCCAGATTCACCTACAGGGCAGTTGATGGTTTAGATTAGTCTTCATCATTGCACATTACTAATCTATCCAATTCAATAATTCAGGTTTCAGATCACTGTTTCCATAGTACGACGGAACTAAATTATTTTCTTCTGACTGCAAACTGAATCCATGGAGTGCTTCAAGGGATTGAAATGGGCATGTGAGGGTTGGAATCAAATTTTGCTTTGCACTAATAACTGGTAGTTGGAGCTGCAAGTTAGTGATCTAAATGCATTGGAGAATGGTCCGATAAGCCTGTTTGGACTGACTTTTTTAGGTAAAAAGCTGCGATTTGAAAAGGTTTTCTAAAATCGTTTAGAGTATTCTTTAAATAGTTGAAAAAAAATTCGTTTAAAATGACTTTCTAACTTTTTGTGTCAAAATTACCAAAAAAAAAAAAAAAATAGTCACATGTATGTATAGATTATACATAATAGTTCACAAAATATGAATATTAAATTTTTTTACGTCACTAATAGTATTTTATGGATATAATAAACTAAAAAGTTATGTGTGACCCACAACAAAACTCTAAACAACCAAAAGAAACACTTATAAAATTAGCTTCTTGAATCAACCTAAATAAGCTTTTTTGGATACAAAACGCTGCTGCATAAGCTAGTGAAAAAGCCAAGGTCCAAACGGACTTATTTTACTCCAAAGCCCTCAAGTTTCCAACTTAGTTTGTAAATTATTTTTTTGAATTAAAAGTAGAATCAAATGGATAAAAAATAAATAATGAATAATTTTATTTGAAATGAATTGTTTAGTATTTAAGTAAATAATGAATAATGAATAATACCCTAGATTACTCAACTTACTATTTAAGTAAATAACTTATTTTACATTTCATGAAAGCGTGACATCTTTAAGTAAATTCTTTTTATAATTTATTTTATTGTATTATT